TGGCCAGGCAGAACTGTGGATGCAAGGGTCTGCTGCATGGCTGACCCATGTGAAGTCCACCTGAGCTTGGGACAAACCTGTCTCCCAAATGTGGGGCCGTGGAGAACCATCTGTCCTCTGAGTGCATCCAGCCACATCTCTGTGGGCCATAGCTCCTCACCGGGGCTGCTCCCGGCTCCCCAAGCCAGCAGAGAGGAGAAGCCACGGCCTCACGTGAGGTCCCTGTAGCAGACAGGCTGAGTACCGCCTTGGCAGTCTCAGGTCTGACATCCATGGTCAGGAATCCATCCTTCCACAAAGAAGTAGAATAGGGAAATGCCATGGTCTTGGGTTTGGGGCAGGCCCTCGAGTTCCCACAGCAAGAGCAAACAAGGCAGCTAGCTGCCTGACAGCACGCAGAAAGTCAGGAGCACGTATATACAGGGAAAAGACGAGGGACAACCTGCAGGCAGAGCCACCGAGTCTGGCCAGCCCCTCTGCATCGCCACCCCAGGGTCCTGCACTTTCTCCTGCCATTGCAATGGCCAACACTTAAAGCTTGAGATTGCCTGCAGAGTCCTTGAGAAAAGGGTCTCTCACTTTAGAATGGCCTGTGCATGGGCCAGCCCAGCTCAGCGGACTTGTACAGCACCGCCGAGCAGCACGGCTGTGCCCGCATCGCCCTTCCTCGCCTACTGGGACCACCTCCCTGCAGCCACCAGTCCAGCCGGAGAGGAGAGGTGTTTTGGCATGAACCCTGGAGCAAGGGAAAGCAAGAGGGTGCTGGCCACCTCCCCATCCGTCCCTCTCCCTCGCTCCCACCCCACAGCACTGCTGTCCAGAGCTGCACCCTGGCCAGGTCGGGTCGATGCTGGGGGTCTCTCCTGTCAGATGCGGTTGGACATGAGCCTGGTGTTCAGCTTGCGGAAGAAGGAGCGCAGCTTGCAGATCTTGCACTTCTTCTTCTTGTTCCTACTCTTCAGGGGCTCCCCACCGCCTTCCCACTCCTCTGCATCATCCTCACTGGCCCAAGGTCCCCAGGCGCCGCCGTTGAAGTCCGGGTGAGCCCGGGGGTTCTCCGCAGGATACCGCACTGGAATGGCCGTCTGGTTGTAGTGCACCAACCTCATCAGGAGGGTCCTGACCACATCTGGGCGCTGGTCCGAGAGGTCGTAGCGCTCATAGGGGTCAGCGGTGATGTTGAAGAGCCACACGGACTTCCTCAGGCCATCAGTGAGACGCTCCAGGTTCCACCAGCTCCCTGGGAAGTTGGTCAGGGTCTGTGGGGGGATCCAGTCGCTGTACCCTGGGTCACCAGTGAGGAGCTTCCACTCCCCAACCCGGATGGAGGCTTGCACGGCCGTGTTCCAGATGCCGAAGCCATCCTCCAAGGAGCCATACTTGGCGTGGTTGTACAGGGGGTCAATGTTGTGCAGGATTTCAGTCCGTGGTGACTCCTTGCCCTCGCTGATGGCAGGCCAGACGTTGTAGCCATCCAGGCCTGGGACATTGCTCAGGTTGCCCCTGGCCAGGCTCACCAGAGTCGGGTACCAGTCTGTGATGTGAACCAGTGCCCAGCTGGTCCGGCGCTTGCGCTTGATCAGGGGACTGTGGACAAATCCGATGCCACGGACTCCCCCTTCCCAGTATGTCCCTTTGCGGCCCCGTAGTGGCCAGTTGCTTCCCCCAGAGAAGGTCTGCCCACCATTGTCGGTGGAGAACACGATCACACTGTTGTCATAATAACCGTACTTCTTCAGGGCCCAGGTGATGTTCTTCACTGCCTCGTCCATGCACGTCACCATGGCGGCGTACTTGCGGCGAGCGACGTTGCCCATGGAGCGGTAGCGGTAGATGTACTCCTTGGGCGACTGCAGAGGCGTGTGGACCGCTTGGAAGGCCACATAGATGAAGATGGGCTCCTTGGGGCTGTGGGACGCCAGGATCTTGCTGACACGCTGGGCGTAGAGGAAGGTGGAATACTTCCCACTCTGGTCCCAAGCCACATCCTCCCCTTCATGCAGGTCATAGCCACAGACGCCCGGCCCGTCGCAGTTGTCGTAGGTGTAGTAGTCCACATTGCCCGTCAGGGAGCCCAGGAAGGTGTCGAAGCCCCGACGGGTGGGCAGGCACTCCTTCTTGTAGAAGCCAAGGTGCCACTTGCCCACCATGTGTGTGGAGTAGCCGGCTTCCTGCAGCTTCTGGGGCAGGGTGACCTGATCGAGGGGCAGGCAGTTGGGCTGCCGAGGGCGGATGATGGAGTGCTGCAGCCCTGTGTGAATCTGGTACCTACCAGGGAAGAGCCAGGAGGAATCAGTGGTGATGGGGAGCAGCACTGGGTGGGGACATGGTGACACTTTACGTACCGGAGACCCTAAATGCATGCACCTCTGTGTCACCCAGCCCAACCCCATGGACCAAGCTCCATGTCAGAGACAGAGAGCTCCTCATCCATCCAAAACTACTGAAAGCAGATGCAAAAAAAAAGAGAGGGGGCTCAGCAGACATCTCAAAAGCACACTGGGCTGCTCTCCCAGGGTGCCACTGCTGTTGGCCCTGCTGCTGCCAGCCCAGGGGAGGTGGCTGGGCTCTGCCAGGGCTGGGCAGCACCAGCAAGAGTTGCACAGCGATCCCTGCGGGTTCGCAGTGCCCCGCCTGAGTGCCCACGCATAGAATCATAGAATCATAGAATGCTTTGGGTTGGAAGGGACCTTGAGAGATCATCGAGCCCAACCCCCCTGCAGTAAGCAGGGATTGAACCTGTGAACTTGGCATTATTATCCCTGTCCTCCCCTATTTTCAACACCCCAGAGATGCTTGGGATCCCTCTAGAGCCATCAGGAGAGAAGAGAGGCCTTTGTCTGGACCCCAGTGGGCTCCACCACCCCCAGGCAGTAGGTGACCGCATCCATAGGCACCTCCCTGGGGCCCACTCCTCAGCAGGAGATGACCTGACGAAATCTGCCTCCTACGCGAGTGCTGACTTCCCAGCCCTGCTCCAGGGAAAGCCCCATCTGTCCCAGGAGGCAGAAGGGCCCAGGATCGGGGGAGACCCGACTGTGCCACCATGGGAGAGGGTGATGGACCAGAATCCAGCCTGCCCCGGCCAGTGCAGCACTGAGCACGCAAGCAGGAAAAGCACGGTCCAAGGGACTCGTAGATGCAGGGGAGAATGATCCTTCGACCCCACAGCCTAGCAGCAAATCTCCAAGGGCCAGCGTGAGAGCAGCACAGGACTGCCGGGGGACACAGCTCTTTGCCAGAGACCACCCTCTCCCAAAGTGACGTCCGTTACGCAATGGCATCCATATTTTTGGCCTTACCATGTGCCGCTATTTATCTCCTGCAAAAATCAACCATTTACCCAGAGAGCCTTCCAGAGAAAGCCAGCAAGATGCCTTTCTCTGAAGGATCTCCATCATCTGCCAATACACTGGGGCATCTGTCTAGCGGCGAGCTGGGGTTAAGCTCCGCAGAGCTAAGGAAGGGACGGAAGAGGGGACATGAGCAGGGTGTGAGCAGGCGCTGGCTTACCTGCCGGTTATCAACTGGCTCCGGGATGGGGTGCAGATGGGCTGGATGTAGTAGTTCTCCAGCTTAACACCCTCCGCTGCCAGCCTGTCCAGCGTTGGCGTCTGGATATCTGAGCCGTGATACCCGACGTCGTGGTAGCCCTGGTCATCGGTCAGAATGAAGATGATGTGGGGTGGCCTGGCAAAGGCGGGAGGCAGTGATTTCTCCATAGAGTCTGTGGCCACGTCGGCCACCAAACTGGGCTTCATCCAGTCCCAGGACAAATAGCCAAAGCTGAGCAGGCTGACGAGTGAGAAGCCCGTGAGGGCATAGACGGCCATCCCGGAGCACGCTGCGCTGCCTGCGAAGGGAGCTACTGTCCCAGCATCGCCTCAGAGCCACGGAAGCAGGAGGACTCCCCCTCCTCCAGGAGAGCCCCCCGACCTAGAGGATGATCCCCGAAACCCCTACAGCCAGTTTTGTGGGAGCAGCTCCCATGAAGGCACACTTGCACGCACACAAAGGGCTTAATCCGCCGGGGCTGGGTTGCCTTCAGTCAAAAGAAAATAACCCTCACGCCGCTCCAATCAAACACATCTGCACGGCAGGACGGGCTCCTCGCAGTGATTAACGGCAGCCCCAGAGCCGCTCACCAAGCGTCCCGAGCGCTAGAAACACTTCCTGACTCCTTGGTGTTTTCTCGCCGGTGTTATTTCTTTATAAAGAACCCCATAAAAACCTCGCTGGAGAAAATAGCTGGCTTCTCCTCTGCTCCAGCCCTGCGCCTGCCTGGCTGTCCAGATGGTTCGTTCAGGATACAACGATGCTTTTCCTTAAAGTCCTGCGGAAGAGGGTGCTAAAGTTCAAGCCCAGGGGTGCCGAGCTCTCCTCCTCACCCTCCGGGGAAGAGCCGCCCTCTCCTTTTCCCACCCTCTGCTCCAGGGCAGAGTCCCAACATCTGCCCGGGACGTGGGCTAAGCCGCCAGGTTTATGGGGAGCTGCAGGCTCAGCCCCTCCCAGCTCAGCAGCTCCAGGAAAAAGCTGGGAAGCCCCGGAGCGTGCAGGGTCCTAAGCGTGGCATTCCCGGAGCTGCTGACACTTCCCTTCCCGCTTGCCCTGAGACGTGTGATGCGTGGGCCAGGGCCCTGGTGGGATGCTCAGCTGAAACCCCCACAGCATCCAGCCAGGGAGGGCAGTGGGGAGGGCTGGGTCCTCGGGAGGGATTGCTGGGGCCAGCTGCCCACGCTGCCGGAATCACCATCCAAATAAATCCCAGGTAAGGGGGTGCTGCAAAAACTTGTTGGGACCGCCCCAGTGTTGCATAAAACCAGGCAAGGGCATGCAGAGCACTACAGAGTGGGGTGGGTGCTGCTGCACCCATTTTCCAGGTGGGGAAACTGAGGCGGGGAGGGGCCATTCGTACTGGCCATGGCCACAGCCAGCCAGGGGCAAGGTTTGGTGTGAACTAGAGACCTCTACCAATGCAGGGGTACTGGTCTGAGCTTGGGGTACTGGGACAAGGGGCCAGATTGGTGGCCTGATGCTTCAGGGGAGCTTTTGGGAGAGACGAGCGATGCTCCTGTTTAATTCCTTTCGCAGGGCCAGCATTCATCAGGCATCAGGAAGCCATCACGCCTGGCACGCATCTTGCCTCCTCGACTTTCCCCAGGACAGGACTTGGCCCAGGAGAGGGGATTTTGGTAGCACAAACCCACCCACCTTCACCCACCCCTGGCAGAGCCAGGAGCTGAGCCCTGTGGCTGTTGGCACCATACGGATG